GATTTACTCAAGACTTAATAACATTTTATGATGGTTGGCAACTCAGAAGTGAGTCTTATTGTTCCTAGGTATTTACTGCTATCATTTGAAATTATCATCTAAAAATGATAAACGTATATATTCCCTCTTTTTTATTAATATGGATTACTTATACACATTTCTTCCAACCACCATATTTGACTATTCTTAAAGGGCATATTTGAAAATGGTCATAATTTATTAGAAAGGCAGACAAAAGTAACAACTACAATGGGACCCACTTCTGAGTTGCCAACGATCGTAAAATGGCTTAAAAGTTTGAGAATCCCTCCCAAACACGGTCTATATTTCCACAACAACTTAATAGAATGATTTTGTCATATCAAAAGGATTGCTTTAATGGGTTAATTTCACAAACGGTCACTGAACTTAATTGAAAATTACAAAACGGTCAATGAAATTTAAAACTTGCACAAACAATCACTGAAGTTTAGAGCGCTTTCAAAAACGGTAACTGAATCTTACAAACTTGCAGAAACGTTCATTATTAGGACTATTATGATTTAATTCAAACTTAAAGGACCAAAACACGTTAACATAGAATCTTGAGGACCAAACCACCAAAACTTGACAAAATAAATTCTCTCTATTTTTGGGTTTTGCGGTAATTTTTCGACAAATTCCGACCACCATGACTGTCAGATTTGGATACCGTTGGAAAACCCACAATGTCATCTTCAATTCTCGCCCAAAATCTCCCCATAACTCTAAAAAATTCAGCCAGAATAAACTCACAAAGTTAGCTCCCCGAAATCTGAAAATCTACCCATATTTTTCAGATTTTTGGCCGAGTTTTACGACAATTTTTTGGCAACTTTCAACCACCAAGACCGCCAGATTTGGATACCGTTGGAAACTCCACAATGTCATCTTCAATTAACACCCAAAATCTCTCCATAACTCCAAAAGATTTGGCCGGAATAAACCTACAAAGTCAGTTCCCCAAAATCTATCCAGATTTTTCATATTTTTAGGTGAGTTTTGAGGAAATTTTCTGGAAACTTTCAACCGCCAAAACTACCGGATTTGGATACTGTTAAAAAGCTCACAATGTCCTCTTCAATTACCATCCAAAATCTCCCCATAACTCCAAAGGATTCGATCCGAATAAACCCACAAAGTCAATTCCCTAAAATCTGAAATCTGCCCAGATTTTTTTGATTTTTGGGTAAGTTTTGTAGCAATTTTGCAGCAACTTCCGACTACTAAAATCGTCAGATTTGGATATCCGTTGAAAAGCGCACAATGTCCTTTTCAATTACCACCCAAAATCTCCCCATAACTCCAAAGGATTCGATCAGAATAAACCCACAAAAAATGCGAGAATTGAAAATTTGGAATTGACATTGGACATAGTCCAAGTGAGGGATTGTTGGATTAATATACTAGGTCCAATTGTTAGGCTAATTTAGCAATTGTATGTCGAAGTGAATTAATTGGATTAATATACTTTGGACATATTAGAGTTAGACTTTACTAATTCTAATAGGATTAAGTTTTCAGTAACCTGTAAATACATAATCCATGTTTAGGATTCTACATACTCGTCTTTATTTCATGCTAGTACAAGAGAAATTAATGACAAAAACTAAACCTAATTGTCTAAATCAAATTGTTGTCGCCGTTGATATTGATTGTCTTTGATTTTTGCTCATGGAGGTGAATTCCAATTTGGTCTTGTCATATGGATTTCTGTTAGAGGTTGGGCGCTTGGATGGTTGTGGTATGTTGAGATTGTGATATGTCAAATTTAAAATCGTCTCAACTTATAAAAGTTGTTAGATGTATACCTCCTATCACAGATTTATCTAAACGTAGAGGTGATCCCACATTTGAGTATTGAAACTTGTATAATTTCTACCGTGCAAGGAAATGATACTTGCATGCTTGATTAAGTGGTTGCAATTAATCTTGAAAACATAGTCCTTTTAACTACCTAATGCGTTTCGATCAGGTGCTTGTCACTACAAGGGAGAGTTGATCAAGTAAGCAACATCTATTGTTGTTATCATTGTAATTTATTTCAATCGGATAACTACTTTTATAAATAATTTTACTTCTGTATTTGAGTTCTACGCGTTAAACATGAAAAATCAATTCTTTAACGAATCAAATGTTGGTGGATTCTTTGTTGCGATGAATTTGGACAGGATGAAGGAATCCAACTAGTGATCAAGTTATTATATGTAAGATGTTTTGTTTGCATCACACTAGGAACGATTCATCGTATAAGAACAAAAAGTGTTTGCATTGATACATGTGAGATTAAGGGATGGTTTGTCTTGTAAAAAAGTTGTGTAAGAATATTTCTCCTGAATAGTTACTTGACCCCAAACATGTCATCAACTTGTTACATTCTGATATTGTACTAGTCCATATTAAAAGGGTAGTTTTGGTCTTTTACTAGTTGAACTCGAGAAAGATGTTTTAAATTTGCCCAACGTAGATGCCATGTGTAAGCTTAAAGCACCATGTAGCCGCGAAACACGTGAAAGCCTCGTGTGGAGTGAAGCGCCTCCTTGAGACAAAGGCAAAGCGCAAAGGGACTCCACCTAGATTCTTGAGGGAGCACTCCCTGGCACTTCCCTATGTGGTGAACTTGAGACTCGACAAAGAGGGAGGTTTCAACTTTAGATGAGTTATTAAATAAATGAACAGCTTATAACATCCTATGCCTCGAGAAAATTATATCCCTCTGACCTTATGACAATGATTAGCACCAAGGAGCCAACAAGTTTTTCGTATATAAAAATCTCTTAGATACTATCGTACTTCTTCGCAAACATTTCCTCAATTAAAAAGATTCAGGCAAAAATTTGACATTCTTGAGATAACTAAGCTGCTTACACAATGATGGTTACAATAAGTACAAAGATCAAAGATATGAATGTGACAAGTTCGATGATCAATCAAAGGATGTCAAAAGGTCTATAAAACCCCAACTCAAATCCCCAGTAAATACATTAGATTTGCATAAACAAAAGATACACAACATCATAAACTATAGTTAGAATTCAGACACTCTATCTCTGTCATACGTAAATATTTTAGTATCTAATTTGAAAGTTGGAGTTCAAACGTTAGCCGAATCATCCATTTTATGAAGACAATGTATTATAGTCGCATGTTAGTGTATAGGTAACTCATAGATAGACAAGGAAGTGAGATCTCTTGGAAGTTAGGTTGTATAGATTTGAAGGCGAACAAACTAGGTGGTGAAAATAAAAGTATAAAATAAGTGTTAAGAAATAATTATTTGTTGCATTTTAGCTTTAATTGCGTTGTCGTACATCAGGCTTTGATGGGTTACTGCATAGAAGGAATTTTCTTCCCTTTTTATTTTTTTTTTATTTTTTTTATTTTTTGGGTGTCCCAATACTATAATTTCTAGACAAACTTATTGGTGGCATATGTCCTCATCATTATTGGTCCCTCCAACAATATCATATTTCTACTTTTAACCAATTATTTTAACTTTTCTTTTATTATCTTTTCAATTATTAATAAAACTTTGTTACTTGTGCATGTGATGACTAATCTTAGACCACTAATGTCTGTATGAGCGACCACACCTAAATACTCTAAAATGCGATATCGACCCTCTCTTGTCCAATACCTGGTATGGTAAAAGAAAATCAAGTTCTGCTTGAGGCAATCTATTGATAGTGCAGACTTGCTTATAAAGATGTATATTGCAATGCACTAAGTTAGGGGATGTGTATGATTGGATTAAGTTTGGTTTGATAAGAATCAGCCTAAATCTAATACTAATGAGATTATATACATGGAACTGAATTGTTTCGTATTCTCGGTTCGACTTGGTTCCTTTCATATTTCAAGAAAAATCGGTAAAATATAAAATATCATGTAAATTTTCTAGGTTCTTTTTTTTGTACACACGTCCTATTTTTAGGCTGCTAAAGTGCTGATTATTCTTGATACAATTTTTTTGCTTCAAGATTCAATTATCTAGTTAGATTATTGATTTTTTTTTTCTCATCTTTTCAAATAAAGAGAAAAATGAATTATATTACACAGAGTTAAAAATAAAATATTAAATCAACATGATTGCTTTCGTAGCTTTCACTACTTGGATTGCAGACTTGCAGTTTGAGACATAGGTCATAAGTCATAACTCACAAGTTTGTCTCTCATAAGAAAAGGAAGCATTTTTATTTTTTTAATAATAAACAAAAGTCAACACTTTGACTATCAGCCAATATATCTCCTTGAGTTTCATTTTTATTTTGTTAAATTTTATTTTTTAAAAAATGAATGATTGATAAGTGGATTGTACTTACGGATTCCATGAAATTTGTAGTTAAAATAAATATTTGAATTTAAAAAATTAGAATTTTAAGAAAAGAAAATGAAACTCAAATGTGGACATAATTTCAGAGCTCCATGAGTTCAAATAAGTAATTTGATTTGTTTGAAGGTAAAAACATGCCACAATCTTACAAGAACATGTTAAGAAATAAATTCTATTTCATTTATAGGTTAAAGTGCATATGTTTGAACCACCCTCTCTAATTAAATATTATTGACTTTGTAAGATAATCTCAATTCTTGGTTTCTGAGAGTGATTATGCAATTTTAATGAAAAATTGGGAATCAATTACTCCTCTTGAAAGGTTGAGGACCAGATTTCTATTATGTCAATTTACTGGGGACCAACAATGAAATTCCCAATATAATATTCCAAATTCAGTTAACACGAGTGATTTATTTTTGCAAAGTCATCCTTAAATTACTCAAAATCAATTATTTGGTAAAGAAACATTTGCTTTATCCCAGAATTAATTACATCATCCATAATGTCAATTACATGCCAGTAATTCATCAAAAAAAGCTAACTGGTGCATGTTTTATTTTTATTTTTATTTTTATTTATTTATTTTTTTTTTTCAAATTGAAAGAAAAATTTGTAAAAGAAAATTCAAAAATAATTGTGAAGACGAATTGCCCGACAAAAACGGTTTCGAGATTCGAGAATAACCGTAGACTAAAAAATGAACCCGACGTTAAACAAACAAGAACAAGAAAAAAATGAAGAGAAACTGATATTGTTGCTGTAAGAAAATCATAAAACATCCAATTGTAGTCGTAGAGAGAGAATTGGGTTCACCTTTTTGTGGGTGTTGGTGGAGTTTTGAGATCTTGTCAGGTCGATCGGGAAGACAGAAGAAAATTGATTTGTAAGAATTAATTATTAGTTTGTTAAAATTACCCATTTTGTTGTTTATCTTTTACTTCATGCAATGTCTTGTTTTGTTGGGTTCGATCTGCATGTTGCTCAGCTTTCCTCTTCTTTGGCCTCTTTCTCTTTCTCTTTCTCGTGTGTGAATATACTTATTATAAAGGTTGAACCCAGGCCCCACCTTGTGGCCTCACCGCCTCTCCCCTATAACTTTGTGTGGGTGGTAAATTGCCAAATGTACAGGGAGCTCTTCGTCAGGGAACAAGAGCTGTTTGTATCTATATATGCATGTATATTTGTATCTATATATGCAGGTATATTGCTTCATGGGCTTGTGTTCTTTTTTCGAGGCAAATGAGGGACTTTGAAATGCTGCATATATAAATTTTTGTGTTTCCTGTTGAAAATTTTTGTTTTTAAAATTTGCATGTTAAGGTAGAAATTAGCTATTCTGAAAGATTAATGTGGGTATTTTTGTAAGAAAAGATTGAGAAATTGTAATGGGCTTCTAAGCTTTCCTTTTGATTTCAGCTTCTGATTATTTTGCTTTATGATTATGGTACGAGGATTGATAGAGTTTATGTTCTTTGACGCTTTTCAAGAAAATTACAGTAATTTCATTTTTAACTGGCTGTTTTTATTGCCTTTCTTTGCACTTGGATTACTACTTTTCTTCTTTGATAATTTTTCTTTCTGATAGAATTTAAGGTTGAATATGCACTAATTCTGCTTTAAATTTGCCCGTCATTACAGCATTATCCTTTTTATTCCTGCCTATAAAGAAGGGATTTCTCCCCTGAAAATGAATTGTACCTCATGGTGCGTGCACATTTCATAAGGAAAACATTTATTGTCGGCAGAAATGTAAGAATTGGGAGGGAGAGAACGATAACACTGCTAAAGCTCGTTATATGTTTGTTTACCTTTAAATTTACGTGATATGGATGTCATGACAAATTAATATCTTCTTTTTAACTATCAAATGATCTAACCTTTTCGATTTGATGCGATTATACTGGATCTCTTATTTGTAGTGGTAAAAAACAGCACTCGGTCCAACTTTCTGATTTTAAGTACGTTGTTAATGCTGCAGGCAGATGGGGAGAGATGTTGCAGGCTTGCATGTTGACAGGAACTCTAAAACTGTCAATATGAAACCCAATGGTACCTTTCGTGGTACAGTTCATGTTGCTCCCAAAATCGCATCGGAAAAAGTTGAAACAGAGGATTGTGAGCTGGGAGATCATGCTGAAAGAGGCATAGTTTCTAATGAAAGTAATACAGAACAAGATGTGCTAGGAGTCAAAAGCACCAACCATGAGCCTGAGCAGAAAAGTCCGAAGGCTGAGGTTCAGAAGTTGAGTGATGATAAATTAAATTCCTTGGTTAAGCCTGAGTCCTGTTCTGCTGTCAATGGGTCGATCAACAAGGATTTCTCTCAGCTGCTTACATCAAATGTCGAGGATGAGAAACTAACATCAAATGAAAGCCATGCTAATGGGACTAAAACCATTGATTATGGCGAAAAATGTTCACCAAAATCCAGTGATGCAAGTTACCATGCTAATGGGACTAAAACCATTGATTCTGGTGAAAAAAGTTCACCAAAATCAAATGATGCAAGATACCATGCTAATGGGACTATAACCATTGATTCTGGTGAAAAAAGTTTACCAAAATCAAATGATGCAAGTTATGCCAAGAGCGTAGGAAATTCACAGGTAATGATACCATTAGAGATCCATGCTGCATAAGGTTGTGTTTGAGTTTTAATTTTGCATGTTAACTGACTAATGAGAGATTGGTGCTGTATAAGGTTGTGTTTAGATGTAAATAATGCTGTGATATATAATTAAGTGGAATCCCCTTGATCTGGTGTTTATGTTTGCAACGTTATTATTTTTGCTGCAGACAAAATCACATTTGGAATCAAGGAACCTGCTGCAACCTAATGAAAACAATTATCAGTATGAAGATGATAATTGGTCCTTGGCTTCCTCATATCCTGCGGAATTCAGAATCTTGTTTTTGTTCTTATCAGATTTTCAATTTCTTTATTATTTCTTGGATGAGTTTTTGGTTTCCACGTTTTTGAAATTGGATTCTCCTTAGCGCTTGTGTTACTGCAGCATCCGTACGGACAGTTAAATCCAGAGTTACCGTTCCAGTGGCTCCATCATTTAGATGCATGGATCGTGCAGAGAGACGCAAGGAGGTAGTTTTTAGATTAAAATGCTGACTTAAACACATATTTCTGATTGTTCTCTCACTCTCTTCATCCTTTTAGCAAATTATTTATTTATTCTTGGCTCTGTCTTCCATTTTTAGTTTTACAGGAAGTTGGAGGAAAAACACAAAGCTTTGGAGCAAGAGAAACTTGAATGTGCAGCTAGAACCAAGGTACACCTTTCTCATATGGTATATACTTTCAGTTTGTCCTCTACTAATGCTGTCAAGATCTATCCCGCTTCTCAATCGCTGTCTTATTTACAGATTTTGAATTTATTTACATGTATCTTGTCCTTATTGATCCTATACGTAGGAAGAAGAAGCTGCTGCTATAAAGCAGCTCAGGAAGAGCATGACGTATAAAGCAAATCCAGTTCCAAGTTTTTACCGTGAAGGGCCTCCTCCTGTGAAGGTTGAATTTAAAAAGGTACAGCTTGGGTCTTTCCTGTATGGGTTTCTCGAAATTGGCATCCAGTTCGTGCTCAAGTAAACACCTAATTTTGCGATATCTTGTCACCAGCATAAATACTAGTTGTAGATCCAGTAAATTGCATCTCCTACTGAGAGATATACTCTTGAGCTTGATAACATTGAAATGCTTTTCATTGTTAAACCATTTCTCTTTAGATTTTGATATGTTCAGTTTTTCTAGGGTACGACTACTGCTGCACTGATACCGGGCTGGATAAGATTGAAGAGTATAAAAGTTAAGATGAGATAAAATAGCTTACCATATAATTAAAAATACCCAATGAATATAGATATCACCATCCGAAGAAATCTAAAATGAGAACCCAAGAAAGGGATACAAAGTTCAATAGGCAAATTCCAAAGCATGATTTCCACTATATTCAAGATCAAACTAAATAAAAACAGATGAAAGAACCATTTTATGCACGTCTATTGAGAAAAAAAGAGTAAAAGTTTTACCATTCCCGAGTAGACTAGCCGGCACAACATTTTGGGATAAAATTCCAATAATTTTCTATAGTACAGTCCAAAATGAGAATAGTAAAATAAGTGGGATTCCTTCCATTGACGTGTCTGCATCGTTCCCAGGTTTAATTTGATTGTGACTCAAAATTCTGCACCTTGGAATGTTAAAAACACTAATGAAAGAAATTGGAATGAATCACACTCCTTTGTCATGGTCCTAGTCCTACTACTAATACTCCTTTGACTACGCTTCTCCTCTTCCAACTTTTGAAATGTTTTTCATTGTTGCACCAATTCTGTTGAATGCCAGCTGCCAGTTACTGTGCAAAACCATCAAATCTAACCCGGAGAAAGGCTTGTGGTGAAGTAATGCTACTGCTATTACAATACTATCTTGTCTTCAAATCTTTGCTCTAAACTATAAATTTACTTCGTTTTGGTTGAATGGCAGATGCCAGTGACTCGTGCAAAATCACCAAATCTATCACGGAGAAAGAGCTGTGGTGATGTAGTCAAATCAACACCAGAGGAAAAGGGAATTTCTGCTCGAGCACCGGGTCGCAGCATAGGCATTTTCAAAGAAGGCAATAACACCCCTATCACTACCAAAACTTGCAATGGAACTAGAGAAGTTACTAATCGTCCTCACCATTCGAAAAAACCAACAGAAAAGTCTTGTGAGGTATCAGAACAGACAACTGCAGATCTTGCTGTTGAGTCGTGAAGAGTCTAGTGTTCCCTTAAAAGTTTGCCATTTAGCAAGGTAAAGTTTCAACTTCCCTTATTGCGACCAAAATGTTCTGGCCAGGTAAAAGGGTTTCTTTCTTTCTTACCCGTAGTTACTTGGCAAAAGTGATATCTGATTCTGGCTTGTATATTTTCTATAATTTATTATGTTCATGTATTGATTATGAAGAACTGGGTGCTGTTGCTGCCTTCTAATAGGATAAATTTGTAATCTTGTGTATAACAGAACTTCTAGTAGTAGTAACTTGTAATGAGAAATCTTTTTCAAGCGATATGTCAGATGCTGCTTTCTATTTGGGATGGTAATTGAACTATGAACTACTTGAAGCTTGGGCTCGGCCTATATTAAGATAGTTGCCTATGTTTAAAAGCTGTTTTTTATGCTGATTCTTTCAGTGACATGTAGAGACATATTGTCCAAAGAAACAACTAAAAAACTGCTTTTAAGTGCAGCCAAACATGATTGCGTCGTATCTAATATTATCGACCTTTGCATTCGAGCCTTCTGTCACTCCTTAAGTTCAAACCTTCTTGCTTTCTCTTCCTCTTACTCCTCTTTCCGTTTTATACCGTATACTGTTAGTCAGCAAGATTATGTCTCAGTTTGGATAAAAATTAAACTTTTAGTAGATTTTGATAAAGTTGATAAAACGTTTGTTGAAAAATTGATTAAAGTTTTTGATTTCATGAAATGTGTGGTTGAAAATAAATTTTAAAAAAAATTAATTTTAAATAATGGGACCAAACAAGGGCTACATGAAAGAGCTAATTACAGAAACCTCCCTTGAAGTTTTTGACCATTACAAAGACAATCATTCCATTTTAAAGAATTACGAAAACCTCCCTTAAAATTAGTTTTCGAAACAAATTCTGTATTTTATACTATATTTACACTACATTTTTCATTTTTCATTTTTGTCCTTATTTATTTTCGCCTAATTTTAATTAGTTTGGGTATTTTTTATAACTCGAAATATTTATACTAGATGAAGATTAGAAAATTATATACCATTATCATATCCCTAAAAAGGCAACAATATTGACATTGTATCAAGTTCAAAATTTAGATTTATTTTTATTCATTTTTTGCTAAATTTTTATCAATTTGTTCATCTTTTAATAAATCCATGTCAAGAACCAAACGTGAAAATTGTAAAGATCTTTAGTGCAATTAATTTGAATGTAATTAAAAAAATGGTATCAATATAACCATCCCATATGGGAAGTTTCTACAATTTTTATAAAGGCAAGGAGTGTCTAGTGTAATTTTCTCAAAATGAAAAAAAAAAATGATGTTAGAAATTTTTGAGAGAGTAGTAGGCTAGGTATTCAAGATCAAATAGAAGAAGAATAAAATAAAGAACTTCAACCAAAATAAACCCCGTCTCCAAGCCAGGGGCATTTTTCTTGATTCCATTCCGTCCATCAAAGTTTCAAATTACAATTTAAGTTAGTCAAATATAATTTTTATACACATATTTCGTAGGATCAAAACTTACTCCTCCCTTATTATCTACACATTTTATATAAGCCCATGTTTGGTTGCCTTTAATTTGGGGAAAAAAAAATTATGTTTTGAATAGTATTTTTTGGAGAATATATGATTAAAAAGTAGAAAAATTTTGGAATTACGTCTAGA